CCACTGTGGAAATCAGTATGGAGATATCTCAAAGAACTAGGACTGGAAGTCCCATTTGACCCAGCTATTCCCCTGCTGGGTATCTTTCCCAAAGAGTTAAAAGAATCATACCACAGTGATATAAGTGTACCCATGTTTATAGCACCACAATTTGTAATAGCTAAAACTTGAAAGCAGCCCAAATGCCCATCAACTGGAGAATGGATAAAGAAAATGTGGGGTTTTTTTATTGGTTTTTTAATAAAATGGAGTACTACTCAGCCATAAAAATGATAAATTAGAGCTATTTATAGCTAAATGGATGCACATTGAGGCCATTCTCTTAAGTGAAATAAACAGGACACACATGTGTGAATACCAAATGGTTTCTCAAGTGTGAGAAACTGAAAATGTAAATAAGGGTTAAAAGGTATAATAGATAATGTGAAATAGGAAGAAAAGTAGCACAGGGGAAGGGGAAGTGGGAGGGGTATGGAAAGGAAAGAAGGGAATGGAATTAATATGAGAAAATGAAAAAATAGAAACAAAGTCTTTGTAAATAGAGAGGGATGGAGGGCTTGAAGAGAGGGCAGGGGAATGGAGAAAAATAGGAACCAAGAGAGATTATGTAAAGGTGCAAATTTCCATTGATGAATGTCATTATATTGTGTACTTAGAATGTACCAATAATAAAAAAAAAGAGTTCTACCTAACCTCTGTTCCAGCTGGTTCAGTGTTTCTGTTTTAATATTTAGAACTTAAATCCATTTTGATTTTAATTTAGTGCATGGTAAAAGGTATATGTCTAGTTTTAATATTTGGCAGGTTGAAACCCAATTTTTCCAGCACCATTTATTAAAGAGGCTATCTTTCCTCCAGTGGTGGTGTTTGGCTCTTTTGTCAAAAATGATGTGGCTGAGTGTGTCTGGAGTTGTTTCTGCATCTTCTAATTTGTTCCACTGGTTCTCAGGTCTGTTTCTTTGCCTGTACCACGCTGTTTATATATCACAGTAGCTTTGTAGTATAGTTTCAAGTTGGGAATTGTGATGCCATGTCTCTGTTACCTACAATTACTTTTACTATTCTGGTTCTCTTCTTGTTCCAAATGAATTTTTGGATTGTTTTCTCAAGGTCCATGAAGTATGCTGCTGAGATTTCAATTGGGATTACATTGAATCTATATAGCAGTTTTGGAAGTATGGATATTTTCACTGTGTTAATCCTTCCTAACCAAAAGCAAGGGATGTCTTTCCATTTTCTGATGTCATCTTCAATCTCTCTTTTCAGATTGCTGTAGTTTTCAGGGAAGAGTTCTTTGATTTCTTTTGTTAGGTTGATTCCTAGGCATTTTAGTGTTTTGGATGCTATTGTGAAAGGAATTGTTTGCCCTATTTCTCTCTCAGTGAGTCTGTTGTTCGTGTAGAGGAAAGCTATTGATTTTTG